TGATATTAACACAATGATACGCGTTCAAAACCTTCTTATAGTGGTTTTTGTCTAATCTTTTGACTACAAATCTTGGCTGAATTTCTCCAGTGTTAAAGAAGAAGACACTTTTTGAATTTTCTCGCCAACGCAATCATGCTAAATTGATAATTAAATGTCTCAGCCATATATCTGTATAAAACTCCACATGCAATCACACGCAATTTAAGTCGCACCTACACACTGATGAATGTGACATAAGATAGGAATTTATATTTTGTATTTTTAGTGAAAATCATAATTCAATAAACATTAATTATTCTGATTTAAATTCCCAGTTGGTGTGAGGCAGGATACTAGAATAAGTTGGCTTGCAGGTTTGTATGTTTGTATGTGCAAGCGTGTGTTTTCTGAACATTTTTTTTTAAAAGACAGGAGTACTGGCTTTACTTAGAATGACATGTTATTTACGTTAAATGCGGAAAAACAAAATAAATTTTACAAGTTAGTTCAAGTCCATATGAAATGTAGTATGAAGTGTTTATTTTATTATTGTGTATGAAAACTGAATGTATCTTATTTGGTATTTTTAAATACTCGCTCTTACATTAATTTTACAAGTTAGTTCAAGTCAATTGGATTTATGGTAGGATGGTGATGCAGGCTGTCAACTGGATCGAAGGAAAAAATAAAAATTAAATTTTTCTTCCCTTCAATTTATCGGTTAGTTTTATTATTTAATTAGTTAAGTGATTATATATTTTTTAAAGATGTTTGTTTAAATTTATGGGTGTTCTAGTTTTCGTTTTTTTTTTTTTTAAAGAAATTTATTTTTTCAACATTTAAGATAAAGAGAAGTAAATTTTTGGCAACACTCCAAGCTTTATGAAAATTTAGGGTATTACAGAATAGCATTTACAGATGTTTGTTACACGACATCAGCGAAATTAATATTTTCTGTTAATACTTATATTTTGTATCCAAATTTAGAAGTAGTTTTATTTATATCTTAAGCAACAAAAATCTAGATAGTCACCCATACAATGTATTAGAGACTAATTTTGAATTCGAGTGTTTATTTGTTAGATATCGATGACACCTAGTTAGCCATTCATAAAATGTATTGAAAATGCTTCAACATAAACTCTAATTAAATGTAGATGAAGCTCTACACAACATATTTTAGCACGCTAACTTGACGAATGTCAAATGACATTAGATAGTATATCCCAACGAATAAAAAATACGCAACAATTGAATATCTTCTTGACATTCAACATCCACAAATTATTGTCATGTTTCAATTAATATCTACAAGGACCACAATGCAAATAAAATTAAAAGTTACAAACCAATAAATAAATTGCAACATAACTTCTCATACCTACATCCTTAATTGTACTAGAAGACATTCAACGAATGTCACTTTAGAAAGAAAGAAAGAAAGAAAAAATTGATTCGTTGAAGCTGATATAACTCTTCCCATATTTTCTTTGGCCACCGTCCTTTTAAAAAAAGAAAAAAAAGTTTTGAATAATAGAGAACGTGTGATTGAAAAG